CTTAATCTTGTTCTCTCTCTTTGCACTTTTTGTTCTTCGTTTTCTCCCTGCCTCTGCTTTTGCACTTCTCACCTCTCGTTCTCTCAGCCTTTCACGACTCAGTATTTCTCACCCCTGCTCCTCATCTGTTCTTCCAGCCTCCCTCCACCTCCCCTCCTCTGCCCTCCCCTCCGAACGCACCCCTGTGTCTGCACCCAGCTGATCCTCCGTCCCGTGTTCTGAGCTGACAAAGATCGCCTTTCACGAGAGCTCCTCTTCACATGCACGGACCTCAAAAGCACACAATCGCACACAATCCCACACACACACACACACACACACACATCCAGCCCTGCTTGTGTTACAGTATTGCTGTGGGATCGTCGCACATAATGAAGCAGAACAATGGAAGAGTAAATTGTCGCATTAATCTCTCAGAAGCCTTTATATGCGACGGACAGGCTAATCACAGTGTTTGATTAGTACAGAACTCCGGGCTTGGGAAGAGAGTTAATAGCACAGTTTGGTCCTGGAGAGGATGGCCATTGTGAAAGGCACCGCTCGGCAACATCAGACATGGAGATGTGTAATCAGAGAAGCCATTAATACTAGTAATAAAGAAAAGAAAAAAAAACTTGGCTGCACTGCAGATGGAACATACACTCTTTTCAAAATTGAAGACTAATAAGCAGGATTCAATTGGCGATGATTAAAAATTACACCTGAGATGTGAAAGGAGAGCTGACTCATTCATGATTCATGTGCATCCTGAGATGTGAAGCCAACAGAATACATGTGCACCCTTGTGATTTTTCTATAGGACCATTCTTTTGCAACCACCTATAGCGTATCCATTACAACACAAGGACAAGTGTGAGTGCACCGCTGTCTAATAACCGCACAGGGCCAAGGTTTGAGGAGCTGTTGTCTCCTCCTTTGATAAGAGCTCCACCTCAACGAGATGGAACAGAGATAATATTTAATGTAACAATGCTCTCCTTGGACTCATTCATCAGCAGCAGAATTGCACGCCAATGAGAGGAGCGAGAAATCCGCCCCTCCTCTGCTGACTTGAATATTTACAGTATGATTAATTTTTGCAGAACAGAAAGTGCCATTTTTAAACAGGGCAAAAAAAAATAAAAAATCGATGCAGCCGATACTACAGAGACGGTCATGCTGGCTTGTCCGACGAAGATTATGGATTTATGTAATTAACATGAAACTTGTAAAGACAAGCGCAACCCAAAGGAGAATAACGATCACAGGGTTTTACTGGCCTCTCGTCAAAATAGAACTTGGCACTTCGGCTGCAGTTACATGCCCCAAAAAAGATTAGTAAGAGTAATTGGGTTACAGCTGGAAATGTTTGAGCATATGTACAAGTCCGGCTTACTCGTCATGTTTAGTCATCAAAGTGTTTTTCTTGCAGATGGGCGCTTAAAAAAAAAAAACGACATCCAACCACCAGAATATATTTAGTCCGAACACCTCATTTGTCATTTTAAAATAAGATAAATAAGATTGATAGTGGACATTTAAAAGACTGTGTGTGTGAATGCACGCTAGGCCTTATGGAAACCATTCCGAAGCAGATGACGCTGCCAGAGATTTTACATCCTGTCTGTGTTTACGTGGCCCATCCTTGTGTGCGTCACGCTCACCTTATGGGAGTAATGAGGGTCGACTATTCTGGCCAGCCCGAAGTCTCCGATCTTGAGCAGCAGTTGGTCCATGTTGATAAATATGTTGGCAGGCTTCAGGTCTCTGTGCAGGACGTTGGCCGAGTGGATGAACTTGAGTCCCCTCAGCAGCTGGTAAAACAGCAGAGTGGCGTGACCTGTTCAAGGACAAAAATGTGAGATGAGGAGTGTAAATACAGTCACAGTGTGTATATTTATAACTCACTGAATACTTCTTAAACTGGCTACATTTTCTACATTTCACATATTAAATAAACAAACCACCAATACATAAATGAGTAAGCACATTTTAAGTCACATTCTGGTGTTAACGTTGGACATGTGACTGGTGGATACATGAGTCACACTCTAATCCTTCACAACCTACAGTATGCTCATGGAAAACAAGCAAATTAGTGAATACATATTGACTCCTTTTGAGCAAATTTAAGCTTTCAAATGTTGAAACTTGATATTTTATTAGAGCCTTAATTAACTGTGGCTTAAAATCATTCATCCTTAATCCTATTAATCACAGTTTAACCGCAGCCAGAAGTGAAAAGACAAAACAGACGATTAATGTGTCGGTGTAAAGCATCATAGCAGCAGTGTGGTGATACGTTTATGTTTTAAACTGACCTTTCAGTGAATAAAACAGGCTCACATCATGATCCATTTAGTAGTTTCTGATTGCATTATACTGCTAGTAGCTCCATAGTAACCATATAGTGGACAATGATGTCAGATTGGTTTATCAATTGGATTTTTGGTTGTCCAGCTGTTTAATCTATGTATTATTTTGAGTTCACTTATAGGTTAAATGTTCCCCTTTTCCCCCCCATACCTGTGGGTAGTGGTCCTTGTTCCAGCAGCCGAGCCAGATCCGTCTCCATGCACTCCTGGACGATGTACAGGGCGCTGAGCTGGGTCGGGTCTCGGGGCAGCGGTCGTCCATACGGCGCTAAAACCTCGTGGACCCGCACCACGTTCTCGTGGAGCAGTCGCCGGGTGATCTTCACCTCCCGCAGGGCGTGTTTCACCGTCACGGCGTCTCGCATCACCAGCTTTTTAATTGCTACACGCTGTCCGGTTCGCTGGTCCACAGCTGACAGGACCAGGCCGGTGACACCTGTGCCAAGAGGTCGAGGGTCAACAAAGTGTCCGCTGAGGTCAAAGCCGTGGAGGAAGAGAGGGGTGTCCTGTCTGGCCATGACTGCCCAGTGTAGAGGTATTAGGGGTGAATGACAGATAGATTCCAGGTGCTGGTACCGGCTGGATGGATTCAATCTGTAGGTTAACAATGTTCTTTCTATTGTTTCATGCACATAATATTACATCTTGCTGGTGAGTATAGACCTGATGTTTCTTTAGGCAGCTGCTGCATGTCTTTCCTCCAGACAAAACTCAATACCACGACTACTGTTGGGGAAAAAAAATGGTGGCAATTCTACGGGCCCACAAAGGTTCAAATGGGATTATTCTACCAAGAAAAGGCCTGTGCTGAATTTTGAGTTACACTCAGTATTGCAAGAAAAGAAATGATTTGCCTCGGGCCTAAGAATAACTTTCTTTGTGCATCATTTCTTCATTTGGTCCCGTGTGGCGCAATTCTTATCAAATCAGCCGTCTTTTGCGCATATTGTCCTGAACTGAGAAGATAAATTTTTCATCATCTTTGATAGGACAAAGAGTATCTGAGCAAAGAGCTGAATCTCATCAAAATATATAAAACCGAGTGGAAAGAAATCTATGGTTTGGTTCAGTCAGTGATCTTGCAGCCACATGTTTAAACATGTGATGGAAAATCATCTACGGTTCACGGTTAAAAATAGGAGATTTTTCCTTCAACATCTTCCCCTCGACACTTGATGGTGATGCTTTTCTTTTCCACGCAGATGTTTTTTTTTTAACGCCGTATTCTGCTGCGAGGATGCACTTGTAATCTCTCCCTGTATATTCTTTATATGCGCAGACAGTCAGAATATCAGTGAGTCTTATTAATACAACCCAGGGCAGGGGTATCCATAGAAACAGCCCTCTGTGTGGCTGATTCTGCTCTTACAAGTGTCGATGCATCATGGGACAGCAGCGGGCGGATGGTCGGCTCTGCACTCCTCTCTCTTTCCGCACGCTCTGCTGTTTGGTACGAGTGTGTAATTTCTCATCGAGCAGTCAGAGCCTTTGATGGCGAGGCAGGATGAAGGGAGGTGGGGTCATGTGTTTTGAATTCAATGAGACTCTGTGGGCTCCTCCTCTTCTTCCATGATACCAGCGAGTCAGTCACACAAGTTCATTCACAGCGAGATCCACAGATGGATGAATCCCTGAAACCGTCGTATCCTCCGTGTGTGTGCGTGTGCATACGTGTACACGCGTTTAATCCCTCAGTAATCTGCTTCCTGTTGCCTTCTCATGAATGTAGGGATTTCAGCATCAAGCCGTGGCCTCTATGGGAAGATAGTGCTATTAGCTGGGTCGCTCAAACACATCTGCTGCTGCTTCTGCTGCTGCTGCTGGGCAGAAAAAAAGAGAAAACAGGGTTAACAGAGAACCGAGAGACAAGCAAGGTGAAGTTGAAAGTTACACAGCAACAGAGGCTGGGTGCTAACAAGGTCTGTTGCAGGAGAGGTACCGTTACATAACACCGAACGAAACTGTAACCTTATCTACACAAAGCCATATTTGTTTAGAGAGGATAATAACGTCAATTCAAGGATGCTTTCACATTTGCTGCTAACATTTCAGAGCAGAGAGAGACAATTTGACAGGCAGTTTTATCTTCAATGGAAAGTCTACTTTTTAGTCCTTCATTTTTCCAGCGTTGAATTTTTCTTTTTTTTGATCTACCTGAAGCTTTACGGTGGTGCTCAAAAGCTTTAGAATTTTCAGTATTTCTGCATAAATATGACCTAAAACATCATACAAAACTATATAAAGAGAATCCAATTAAACAAACATGAGGAAAATATTATACCTCGTCTCTAACTTATTGAGCAGAGTTACAAATCTGTGAGTGGCAAATGTGTGAGCCTTTGCTTTCAGTGTCTGATGTGACCTCCTTACGCAGCTCAATGTTTTCCAGCGACTGTTGATCAGTTCTGCACATCTGCTGTTGGTGAATTTCCTCACATGAACTGCTCGCATCAGGTCCTGCCACAATATTACTGTTGGATTAAGTTCAGGACTTTGACTCTGCCATTCCAAAACATTAACTTTCCATCCATCCACTTATCCGGAGGTCGGCTTGTGGTGGCAGCAGGCTAAGTGGTGGCATTCCACACATCGCTGTCTCCAGCAGTGTTTTCCAGTTCCTCTTGAGGGATCCCAAGGCGTTCCGGGGCCAGATGAGATATGTAATCCGTCCGGCCAGCTCTGGGTCTACCCCAGGGTCTCCTTCCAGTTGAGTGTGGCTGGAAAACCTCCACAGAAGGGCAGCCAGGGGGCAACCTACTCAGATGCCCAAGCCACCTCGGCTGGCTTGTTCCGACATGAAGGAACTCCGTCTGAGCTCCCGCTGGATGTCTGAGCATGTCGTACCTTCTTTACAGCTGAGCCCATATAGGAAACCCATGTTGGCTGCTTGTACCCTTGATCTCATTCTTTTGGTCTCTATCCAGAGCTCATGACCATAGGTGAGGACTGAAATAGATGCCGACTGGTAAGTTGAGAGCTCTGCCCTCTGGCTCAGCCGCCACTTCACCACCAAGACAGTCGGCTTAAACTTTCCCCAATCCATCTGTCCACTCACACTCCATTTTCCCGTGACTCGATGAAAAAGATCCTGAGATATTTAGGCATTCATTTTGACCATTCTTTGGTAGAATGACTTGTGTGTTGAGGGTCTTGCGGCACTTTCTCCACACACTGAGTTCATGACATTTTCCTTTAAAAGTCACTGTTATAACTCACTGTTCCATCAGTGACGGTGAGGAGGGCCAGATGCAGCAAAACAGGCCCAAACCATTATACTACCACCACCATGTTTCACAGATAAGGCACCTTAAGCTGGAAAACAGTGTTTTCTTTTCTCCTTTCTCCCGTAACACTTCTTATGTACACCAAAATTTGATTTTGGTCTCATCCATCCTAAAACCATTTTCCAAAATGTTTAATTTTGAGAAAGCAGCAATGTTCTTTTTAGAGATTGGTTGCTTTCTCCTCACAACCCTGGTATGGACACGACTGTTGTCCAGTGACTCATGAACATTAACGTTAGTCAGTGTAACAGAGGTCTTCAGTTGCTTTGAAGTCACTCTGTGCTCCTTTGTGAGCTCATGGACTAGCACACATCTTGCTCTTGGAGTCATCTTTGCTGGTCCTGGTCTTAAATTCCTCCATTTCTATTTAGTCCGTCCAACTAGTGATTGGTGAAGTCTAGACTCTGTAGAGGTGGTTTGTAATCTTTCTTCCAGACTAATAGAATCAGAAAATCTTATTCTAAGGTGCTCAGAAATCTTCTTTGTTGGTGTCACAATACTTCCACAGACATGTGTTGTGAAGACCAGACTACGATCGATCTCGGTTCTTTCAAGAAAAAAGGGACGCCCACTCACTCCTGATTGCCATCCCATTGAGTAAACATACCCGACTCTAATTTAACCTTATATTTTACTGATAATTCACATACATTTACCACTCATGATGCTGATTGTAACACTGGTTAGTGTCCTCTTTTTGTCTCATTTTATTAAATCCTCTTTATCTACTTTTGTGTGAAACTCCTGTGAGGATGTTTTAGATCTTATTTGCAGAGAAACCTTTCAAGCCCCTCTGTTATTTCTGCACATAGAAAGGTCGTGCAGCGGTAGGCAACAAAAGCATGGACTCGCTCTCACCCCTACATCCCTGGGCTGTGAGAATTCAAACAATCCATACAACAAATCTCCTCGCTATCAAAAGCCTGAGGGCACGGTTGGGCATTAAGCAAGCCTGTTCCTTTCTTGAAATGGGGGGCCGAGCACAGACCCAGTAACTGGACCACTGTTGCTCTTTAAACGTCTTCCAAATACTTACTAACGCAATCATGTCAGGCTCAGTCAGGCCGACTGTCAGAGGCAGCGAGAATGTAAGGTGAGAACAGAGAGGCTGAAGAGAGAGAGGGAGCATTGACAGTGGTGCTGGGTGGGAGGTGCAGCGCTGGGGTAACTTTATAAATAATGCATAACCACTAGAGATGGCGGTTGGTGCTCTCTCTGAGCATTTATTCTCCATTTCTTCGGGTTACGCAACGAGAATATATATTATAGATAAGAATCATTTGCAGTTTTTTTTTTTGTGGTGTGGGTGTAAAGAGAGAAAAAAAAGAATCCTAGTTTGGTAAGCTCAGAGTCAACAGGCTTGGGAGGCTTTAAATGCTTTTTAATTTGAGATTTAAGAAGAAAACAGAGTCTATGAGGCAATATGATGTTAATAAATTTGTAGGTGATAGCAGATATGAGCAAACAAGGGCACATCTGTTGTACTCAGGCTTTGTGCAGCTGCCTCTTTGTCCCCAAGGAGCCTCTCTGGCTGTGTTTTCATTCTTCCTTTTCTTTCCTTTTTTTAAATGTTACTCCATTTACTCCCCAACAAGGGTTAATACAGTTTGACTTCAGATGGGGGGAAACGCTGCATCCTCTCTGCACAGTGGCTTAATGCAGCTGCCTTTGTGTGTGCACACTCCAGAAACGCCCCTCTGACAGAACAAAAACACTGAAATTGAAGTGCATGTAATAAACCAGAAAGCCCCACATCTGAGAAAAGAAAAAAGAAAAAAGTCCACCAAGCACAAACAACCACCACCACCACCATCCCCTCCTCCTCCTCCTCCTCCTCCTCCTTTCTCTAGCTCCTCTTTCTCGGGGACTAGATTTCTTATCTACCCCCCCAAGTATCTGCTCGGTGACCAGGAGGAAGAAGAAGAAGAATGAAATACGCGCAAAGATAACAACATCAAGAAGCATCAGCACTCACCGGAGCGTTACGCAGCCGCAGCCCGCCGTCCACAAACAAAGATCCGAGGAGGAGAAGAAGAAGAAGATGTGGGAGAGATACGGATCCTTAGGAGCGAAACAAAGTGGAAACGCGGCAGCATCATCTCCCTCTTCTGTGTGTGTGTTTGTGTGTGTGTTGTTCAGGATGATCCAGGAGGGAACGGGTCGGCACCGGGGGGCGATCCGCGGAGATGAGATAAGCCGGAGGCAGCCTCCAGAGCCGCTTATTGTGGGCGACT